CGTGGGCGTCGGAAGACGAGACGAAGCTCGCGCTACTTGTGGCTCACGGCTTCGCACGCTAACGACCTCTCACGTTTGTTGCGTTCTTCTTTACGTTCTTCCCAACGGATTTTCGAGCAAAAGAGAGACTGTGCTTGCAGTCTATATACGTTACAAAACAGTTACTCTGCTCACTAGCGCAGAGGGCTAATAAGCGAAGTATGATGATCTTAAAAGCTTTAACTAAACCCGTGAAATTTTCCGTTTTTCCGACCTAAAGGGCTTACTATCGAAAAGACGGGACTCTTTATTGGAATTGTATTGCGTAATGTGTGATTTATACCTTTTTGTACAATTCACAACAGACGTTTCCTGATAGCAAATCCAGTAAATCCAGACGATATTTACATGTTGTGTCAAAGTTACGATCACTGGCTGGTGAAGATTTTTTTTGAGGACGTAAGAACAACATCAACTTTCCTTGATTGTTTTATACGCATGCGCTTTTCCCACATACTTTATTGGTCAAGTTTACCTACGTTTTCATGAAGGCGCGGTGGCCTCGTGGTTAGTGCGCTCGCTTCCGGATCGAGCAGTCTGGGTTCGAGCCCTGGCCGGTGACATTGTGTTGGGCAAGACACTGTACTCTCAGAGTGCCTCCTCTTCACCCAGTGTATAAATGGGTACCGGCGATCTCACTGCTGCGGTGTAACCCTGCAATGGACTAACATCCCATCCAGTAGGGAATAGAAATACTCCTTACGCTAGTCGCCTCCTACTACTGAATTTGTTATTCTCGCATTTTGGTTGGTTCCGTCTAAAGGGGTGGAGGTGTAATTATCACATAGGTATCAGGTGAGAAATGGGCAGGGGATACTTAACAATTAGACCCGTAGCCCGCAAGGGCTGCGGGTCGATAGCCGATGAGGCGAAACCGAATGGGCTATTGACCCGTGGCCCTTGAGGGCGAAGGGCCTAATTGTTTTAGTATCACCCAACTAGTCGGACAGAAAACGCAATAATAAAGTTAGCAAATGCAAGTTGAAGAAATATTTATTTGGGAATAAAACGACAGAAAGCGTCACGCTCGATTGCGCCAATTTCGCTACTCGAGGACTATTAGTAATAGTCCTCTAATAGCGTAGCCAATTAAAATGCAGGATTTGCATTAGTCCACTAGTTGGGTGATACTTATATTAATTAGTAGAATTCTCCTGGTATACTAATGCAAATGCTGGAATCTGATTGGCTGAGCTACTCGTATACTATCAGCCATTAGAGTGCAGTGGCTGTTGGTCGTCCACGAAATGTGACGTTTTTATCGTTTTCTGAAGATTTGGAAGAAATTTTAGGTGTAAATGGATAATTAAATTCCTGAGAAGCCCAAAAGAAGGACATTAACGGGTTCTTGACTTTAAAATCTTGAAATTATTGAAAAAAACGGGTGCGAGCGCGTAAACAACTGCAAATTTACCAAGGACAATTCAATGCGTGCGATTTTATTAAAGCGTAAAGTTCAATGGAGCGTTGAAAAATAATTGGAAACCGTTATTTGCGTTCATTTCAGTTAGAATTCTACTAAAACAATTATATTATTCGCTCTTGATTTCTATGGGGTGATAGTTGATTCGGCCTTCGGCCTCATCAACTATCACCTCATAGAAATCTCGAGCTCATAATCTAATTGTTAACTAGCTGCTTGACTCGCACCCCTAGTAGGTTTCTTTTATATAAGAACCCTCACCCCCGTGCTGACCTGCCACTATTAGCAGACCGCTATTTAACAAATAGATTCCATGTTGCCGTGCGTCTGTTCACTAATAGATCACGTACAGATAACGTCAAAATGTGCTAAGAACAAAACAAATTGGCACAACACATTTAATTTTGACGTATTTTGCGGTCCATTACTGATCTAAACATCAAAGAAGCAAACAAACAGACTAAGATTTTTGTTGGAAGGTCCTTGACCCTGCACATGTTTTGCTCATAGACTGTGCATGAATAAGATAATCGCAACGGTTCTATTGGTTAGTTGTATGAGCATTCATCATCATCATCATCATCATAATAACTTTATTTTGTATTTTGCCAGGTTTTGTGCAGGGTCTACGTATCCCCAAAATACTTTTCCAAGAACTTTTTCAGCTTTACCCATTTCCCTCTGTTAACTATGTTCAAACAGCCGGAGACGACGTGGAGAACATTGGTGTTTTCATTTCGACATTTTGATGTTGAAATCTTATCTTTTTTTTCTCATGACAGCCCTTCTTAACTGTGGTCTTAATTGGTCAAGACTTGTGTGTAACCATGTTGTATCTCCTTCACTTTTCACCAGGACCATCAGGTAATGATGAAAACACGGGTTATCTTTGACTGTTAATACGCTCTTGTTTGTTCCGACGTTTGTTGGTGAAGTCCATGCATGAACCGGAAAGTGTAAACGTTAACGAAGACTCAGCGGCGAACTCAGGGTAAAATGCAGACAGCAGACTGTAGACTTTTTAACTAAATCGTGTTACCATTTCCATTATTGAGAGCTAACCGTTAACAGGCAAGCCAGAGCGCTACTTAGGCTAACCTGAGTGATATTCAGGGTAACCAGAATGACAATCAGTCTAACCGAAGTGATATTCAGGCTAACCGTAGTGCACACTTTCACTGCGATTAGCCTGGTCAACACTTGATGATGGAAACATTATGACATACATTAAAAAGTCTGTAGTCTGAGGTAGTCTGCATTTTACCCTCAGTCTGCATTTTACCCCCGGTCTGCAGTCCGCACTCCACAGTCCGCAGTCCTCGTTTTACACACTGACCGTCCATGAACTTGTTTGGTTGTTCTTTTTTTCAGTATCATTTGCCGGAACATCTTACAGTTTGTGGGTACTGCTGGCGTGGATTGGTGCTCCGTTCTTAATCTACAGACAAGTTATTGTCCACGGGCTTTTGGTCTTTAACTCATTTAGATACCTTGCTCGGTTACACGACAAGGGGAGCTCAAAAAAAGCTGAATGATAGGGCGTTTATGCAAACAAAGACGATGGTAACAAGTCGGAGAGTGGCGATACAGTGGATGTGAGGTGATAGATAACAAACGAGGCTTGTAGCGCCGAGTTTGTTATCTATCATCTCGCATCCAACTATAGGGCGACTAAAACAGTAGCCTGATTCTCAGATAGTCCAGGTCCCAGGCTGCCCGCAGCAACGTGCTCTCTGCCTTCCCCGTTTGTTTTTAAAACAGAGTGTTTTCCCATGACGTCACGCCAGCCATATTGGTGTCCCAAACTCTGCTCCTGTGGGAGTTGAACTCTTTTCTTCTGTAAACACTTTCTTTAATCACCAATTAGTTTGCATGGATGGTGGCTACGAGAGTGAAAACGTCTAATAAATTCTTCACAAGTTTCATAAGAAAAGACTGGATGTTATGGACATTTCATCGGTGATCTAAACGAGACCGGGTAGTATGAAAGAGCGACTAAATTTGATGTGCGCCATTTACTTAGCGGTCATTGTAAAACGTGGTGTGTGAATTTGTAACAATAAAAATCATTAATAGTAGCTAATAGNCCCCCCCCCTTTGTTTTTGCTATCCTTCTGTAGAGTTCAAGTAGACATAGACATACTCTTTATTTAGACGCGGTAAAAACATCAGTTACAAGATCGATTTTTTTTTAAAAAATAATAATAATAATTTACATGCTTGCCGTGTGAGAGTACGAGGAAGACAGTTGGTGATTTATCTCATTTTTAGAGTTAATAAAAGATCTAATGGCTCTGACGTTAGATGGAAGGCTATTCCACAAATGTGCCCCACACTAGAACTTGCTCAAAAAAAGACTTGCACTATAAATGAAGTAAGAAGAGAAATTGTTACATCGTAGGAAAGAACTAATAATAAGTATGACACAAATTTCTACAATTTTTCGTAACAGACTGCTCAAAAATTACCCATTGCAGTAAACACCCACATATAAGAACAAGTAGATTTAGAACATCAAGCCGAAAGTTGGCCAATAAAGCACCGTATATTATAAGAACAAATTCAGCCTGGTACACTCTTTTTTATATCTAAGAACGTCTAATTTTGGAGCTGAGGATGAACGTTCTTATATTTTTTGAGATTTGAGGCTAAAAACGTTCGTGAGATGTTCTTAAATTTAAGGTCAACTACCTTGATGATACTTCAGACTTTGTATCACCTGATGATTTTGATGGTGTGGAGATTAGTTTGGAAGAGTTATAAATAAGAACTGCTGATTATTACAAACCGAGATGTGAGGAATGCAGGAAGAAAACCATTGTTAATGTTATACAAAACATGCCTTTTAGTATTAGGGTTAATTTACATTTTTTGTTCCCTTTATTTTATGCTTGTCATTTAATATACAGATTAGCAAAATAAAAACGTTCTTAATCGACTCTCAGCCTGAAGAATGTTCTTACTATGTTCTTAAAATTTGGGTTAATCTCAGCCTCAGCGTTTTCATAAAAAGGTTTTTATAAAGAAAAAAAAAAGAGTGTAAATAAAACATGTTCTTACATAACAAGAAAGAGGATGCCAGAAGAGACAGAATAACAAAGCACTCGTACGCGTATTAAGTACTATAGTGTGTTGGACAATACAACCTCTAAGAGCCATACAGTGTCTGACTGGAAGGACGGGACTGTGGGACTAATAATAACAGTTCACACTAGTTTGCTAACAGTTACCTGGTTGTCTTGAGTATTTACTTTATTTTCATTTTTTTTTTTATTTGAAATTTTTTTATTGTAAAGTAATAAAACATTGTACGTTAATTAAACCTTTAATAATGTATAATGTATAGTATTTCTGAAACAAATTTTAAGAACATTTTTAAAGCAGTGGGGATTGAGGGCGAATCACTTTGATTAATGGGAATACGTCCCATTTTGTTTTGTTGATGGCTGACCCCGGAGTCGTTAAAAGGTTGAAATTTGCATTTTAAAATAAGGTTTTCTCATTGTGTTTTGAGGGCGTTTAAAGGTTAAAGTTTGCTGTGTTTTCATAGCTCTTCTAAGCTTTGTGAACAAGCCCTTAATAAAGCCTTAACCTTCCGGAGCCTTTACGTAATAGTTGACTTCAATATGATGTGATAAAAAAAGCAATTTTTCATGTTAACACTTCTGATTTCGCGGTGAAGCTGGGCGGT